GTTCTTATCGAAGAGTTTTCAGCAACCCTGTGAGTAGTTTCCCTTATGCACAAAAAGGCCGTTTTGACTAAAGCAAATGTTAGACAGTTTTCGATGAACGCACGTGAAAAACTGACGCAGAAGTACTCGTTGTCTGGTCTGGAAAGATATACACAAACCCTGAAGCAGGAAGACACAAATCCTCACGGGGTCTCAGCAACATTCGGTCCGCCTCCGTGTGCATTTCAGTGGTTGGCGACCTGCAAGTCGAACTCAAGGTGTCACCCGGATTCTTCACTTTTCTCGACTTTGCGTGGAAACAAACAGCTAATTAACTTCCGGTGGTCTCCATCAACACATAAACAAAATCCTCAACCTCATCGCCGAACTGAACATCCGTCTTTTACAGGAAATTCTTCTGAGATGCACAAGCATTCTGTCAATCCACACCCACATTAGATCCTCTAGTCTCAAAAGCGTTTTCGTCATGGGTAGGGACAAGCAAAAGAAACTTTCAGATCAAAGTCGCTTTTTGTGTCTTCCGTTTGAATACATCATAAATACTTTTCAAAAGACCCAGTGATCACATCTATCTTGAAGTGCAGTCAAGGATCTCAGTTGGGGAAGGGTGAAGGGGTCGGAGTTGTTTGCGGGGTAGCTCTCCAAAAAACATTTACATCACAGCTGAATTTGAGTTTGTGGCCGAACTCATCGTTAGGTATCACACACATTTGAAGGATAAAAGTGACTCCTGGACAAATATGTTCTTGATGTATGTAGTCTGATATCAACCACGAAACGCAGTTTTTTGTGATCGATTGTTGCCGAAATCGATTGAATGACGTAACCTTGTATCACAGTATTAAATGGGATATGAAGATTATTGCTGGTGAAGACAAACCAACAGGACAGACAAAATAGAGTTTCTCTATGGGAAAAAACAGTGTGCTATGTATTTCCCATCAAGCTACTGACTTTTTCATCTAGTGTCAGTTCACTAGACTGAATTGCAAATGGTCACGGATGTTATATCACCAGCAAATTCGGCTGTGAAACTGAGTGAAACTAAAAGTTAGGCGCCCCCTATGCTTCTTCAGATTTCCATGGTAAACCGTGAAGAGCAAACTTAGCCAGTTTCTCACTGATACCGCACAACGTACCGCCAAGGACTGTGGGACATGGGACTTGTTGAGTTCCACGCTTCGGGATTCGCTTGCACTGTTTTGCTGTCGCTCATGTTGTGCAATCCGGGTTTAAGAATAATATAAGGTTGGCGGAAACTTGGGGACTGCGCCTACCTGATGAGCCCCAAAGAAGGGCGAAACCGATAGTGGGCTGTGGAAGAGTTTTCAGCAAACTCATGAGTAGTGCATTACGTCTACACATGTATCGTGATATCTTGCGAACCTCAAATTAAATATGAGAAGGCCTGATGCAGCACGTTCAGTTGCCTGAAAACATCATTAACGAGAGATCCATCTGGATTCCACAGGAGTCCCTCGAAAAAACCGAATTATTTTTGCAAATGAGTCCATTTCGCTGAGTGTATGTGTTATATCTGGTGATTCGTCAATCTGTGGTATCTGCTGCTGACCTGCTCCAGTGCCTAGTTGCCGGAAAAAAGACTCACAGAAGGGAACACAACAGACATATTCCGAACAAGCGAGTGCGAGAGCGTGAGTGCGTGCGAGTGAGAGAGCAAAATTTACGACGAACACACGCTATTCAAAGGGCACCCTATGAAATTGATCCAGGCTGTCTGATAGGCGTTAGTGAACACTCACCAACATCGATCGGGCCTCTATGAAATGCCTGAACGCAGACCACATTCGGTCGTGCTTCTGTGGCGTGCGTGAACACTCATCCGGTTTTGCTGAATTGATTGAATGATTGACTGGCCTGGATGGTTGCCGGCTTTCCTGTTGAGATTTTGGTGGAGCAGTATTTTAAGGACGTTCTGAGGTTACACTCAGGAATCTGACCTTCCTGATAGTATGATTTGTTTATTTTGATTGAATTTTGTATTCCTTTGGGCGGTTCGTCTTTATCAGGGGTCATCAGATGAATGTGACAGGCCTTTTGGAAATCACGACCTTGAATACAGCAAACCAACTCACTGAACTGCAGGATACGGGTCGATTAACAACACTTATTTAAAACGAGTACACTTCCAGAACTGACAAGACTTCCTTGGCAATTCTGTGCACACAGTGATTCCACGATTTTGATGTTTGTGCATCGGACGCAATAGCGGTAGGATTGAAATCCATCCGCCAAAGGTCGCTTGGAATACCTGGATTAATGCGATCGAGCAGATGAAGTTGCTCACATTTACACAACATGTGTATTTAACGCAAAGCGCTTCAAAAAACCCAAAAGGCTGCCGGTTCACCCACAAACGTGAAAAAGAATTGGAAATGCGTCACGGCCTGATGAATTTGGCCGCGGTTGTATTCGAACAAAAGTCAGCAAAAGCTGTCACTGTGATATTGCCTGGAATCTTTTGTACTTTCTTCGTGCGTTGTTCGATCCGGTGATTCGCGATCAACGTGTCACGTGTTACCATGCTGTTATCAGTTTTTTGTATACACCTAGCTACTGATTATGCCGACAGGCGATTGAGAAAACACCATGTTGAGGCTCTCGTCATAGCTAGTCAGCAGAATTGGAGGGATTGATCAGGTGCTCCTTTGTTTCACGACCATTCTGGCTATTCTTCGAAGCACAAGTCTGGTGACAGGTGTGAAGAGCCAACCGATTTGACCCCAGTTATGGTTCAGCCAACTATCGAATACGATAAAAGACGGAGCATATATTGCTGGTGTCTTAAATCTTGTTCTTCATTTAGAAAATAGGCTGCCCGGTGAATCCCAAGAAGCAAGCGATCGATAGTGGGTCTTTTAGGGGGTCACAGTTACGTGATGTTCAGTTTGGTGAATCAACTTCTGACATAATAAATAATAAATAATAGATATCTAAATGGTTCGCAAGAATCCCTAGTAATCCAAGTGAAGTAACTGGCTAAAAATCCCAGATGTACGTCTGAAACCCAACGTAGTGCAAATCATGAGGGAAGCAGTGAAATCAAGATAAGCCGTTTTTCAGTCAGCCAGTCACAACTCGGGCATCAAACTCTCTTTTAAAAACTTCTAGAAACTACAAACTGGAAGGAATGATGCACACATTCAATCCCGCACTGACGTCCCCACAATTCGTGACTAAACGTCCGTGTTTGGTAGCCAGATGGACCGAAGGTCATCAGGGATCCCTAATACGAGGCTGTCCAACCTTCAGACTTTTGGGGATATTGACGGTACTGGCCATTATTATCTTATTCAAATTCCCGTTCAACATACAACTTAGTAAGGTTGACGAAAACTCGGGACTGCGCCTAACCTAATGAGCCCCAAGAAGGGTGAAACCGGTCGTGGGCTGTCGAAGAGTTTTCAGCAACCTTGTGAGCTTCCTTTATGAAAATACACTGCGATATCTCGAATATCGTGCCAACTGAATCATGAGGCGGC